GCAGGTGTGGGGGGCACACACACATGACCAGGTGTGCCAGGGACACGTGTGTGCAGGTGTTCAGGGAGCACACACACGACCAGGTGTGCCAGGGGCATGTGGGTCCAGGTGTGCCGTGGGCATGTGTGTGCAGGTGTGTCAGGGGCACACACACATGACCAGGTGTGCCAGGGACGTGCTTGTACAGGTGTGTCAGGAGCACACACGTGTGCAGGTGTGCCAGGGACACACGTATGTCCAGGTGTGCCAGGGACATGCGTGTGCAGGTGTGTCGGGCACACACACATGACCAGGTGTGTGGGGAGCACACAAATGTCCAAGTGTGTTGGGCACACGCGTGTCCAGGTGTGCCCGGGGCACACACACACATGACCAGGTGGTCCAGGGACACGTGTGTCCAGGTGTGTCAGGGACACGTGTGTCCCGGTGTGTCAGGGACACACGTATGTTCAGGTGTGCCAGGGACACGTGTGTCCAGGTGTGTGGGGCACACACATGTCCAGGTTTAGGGGGCACACACATGTGCAGGTGTGCCAGGGACACACACATGTCCAGGTGTGCCAGGGACACGCATATACAGGTGTGTCGGGAGCAGGTGTAAGCAGGAACTGGGATTTACTGGGGGCACTGGGAGTTACTGGCAGCACTTGGAGTTGCTGGGAGCAGTCGGAGTTACTGGGGGAACTGGAATGTACTGGGAGCACTGGAATGTACTGGGAGCACTGGGAGTAACTGGGGGCACTCAGAGTTGCTGGGGGCACTGGGAGTTATTGTGGGCACTGGGAATTACTGGCAGCACTGCGAGTTACTGGGGGCACTGGGAGTTCCTGGGGGAACTGGAATGTACTGGGAGCACTTGGAGTTACTGGGGGAACTGGGAATTACGGGGGCGCTGGGAGTTCCTGGGTGTTGCTGGGATTTACTGGGCGTTACTGGGGGCACTGGGGGTTACTGGGAGCACTGGGGGTTACTAGAAGCACTGGGTGTTACTGGGGGCACTGGGAGCTACTGGGGCGGAGCTTGAAGTCAGTGGGCGGAGCTTGAGGCTCAGTAGGCGTGGCGTGGCCGGGGTTTGTTGCACAAGGGGCGGGGCTTTGTCCGTTTGTGGGCGGGGCGTCCCCGCCCCCGTCCCGAGGCCCCGCCCCCCGATTGGCGCAGTCCGCGCGCCGCCGCAGGGCCGGGGGCGGGGCCTCCGCTATGGCCACGCCCACTCCGTCCGCTCATTGGCGGCGGCTGCGGGGGGCGGGGCCTGGACCGAGGGAATGGAGGGGACTGGGAGGAACTGGGGAGACTGGGAGTTACTGGGGGAACTGGGAATTACTGGGAGAACTGGGGAACTGGGAGTTACTGGGGACACTGGTTGTTACTGGGGAGACTGGGAGTTACTGAGGGAACTGGGGGAACTGGGGACACTGGGAGTTACTGTGGGATCTGGGGGTTACTGGGGGCACTGGGAATTACTGGGGAAACTGGGGAGATTGGGAGTTACTGGGGGAACTGGGAGTTACTGGGAGTTACTGGGTGTTACTGGGAGCCGGACTGGGCTCCATGTCCCCGCCGTGTCCCCTCTGTCCCCCCAGTGCCACCTGTGCCGTCCCCAGGGGTGCCCCGGGCAGGGGGGGCGGCCGGGCCCCCCCCGGCGAGACCCCCCCCAGGCCCCGCCACCGCTGACAGGTGAGGGAGGACGGGGGCCCCAAATGTCCCCAAGTGTCCCCAAATGTCCCCAAGTGTCCCCATGTGTCTCCAAGTGTCTCCAGTGTCCCCAATGTCCCCAAGTGTCTCCAAGTTCCTCAAGTGTCCCCAGTGTCCCCAAGTGTCCCCAATGTCCTCAAGTGTCTCCAGGGTGTCCTCAAGTTCCCCAAGTATCTCCAATATCCCCAAGTGTCCCCAATGTCCCCAAGTGTCCCCAATGTCCCCAAGTTCTCCAATGTCCCCAAGTGTCCCCAGGTGTCCCCAGGTGTCCCCAAGTGTCTCCAAGTGTCTCCAAGTGTCTCCAGTGTCCCCAATGTCCCCAAGTGTCTCCAGGGTGTCCCCAAGTATCTCCAATATCCCCAAGTTCTCCAATGTTCCCAAGTGTCCCCGAGTGTCTCCAAGTTCTCCAATGTCCCCAAGTGTCCCCAAGTGTCCCCAAGTTCCCCAAGTGTCCCCAAGTGTCCCCATGTCCCTCCTGTCCCCCCCGTCCCCAGCAGTGTCCCCCTGTCCCCCCATTTCCCCTGTCCCCCCATCCCCCCCATCCCCAGCAGTGTCCCCTTGTCCCCCCCGTCCCCCTGTGTCCCCTCACGTCCCCCATGTCCCCCCCTCTCCCCAGAGGTGTCCCCATGTCCCCTGACGCCCCCCGTGTCCCCGCAGGCCACCATGGGGGACTCGGGCAGCACGGGGGGCGCCGGGGGGGGTTTCGGGGTCGGGCTTCTGGAGCTGCGGGCGCTGATGGAGCTTCGCGGCGCCGAGGCCTTGATGAGGGTCCGAGAGGACTTCGGGGACGTCCAGGGGCTCTGCCGCCGCCTGCGCACCTCCCCCACCGA